CGGCATTCCCAGTATGAATGGAACATAGTTGGATTCCATGGTACAAATTGTCTATTGACACGCAGTGTTCCTAGTTTGAATGGAACATAGTTGGATTACATGGTACAAATTGTCTATTGACACACGGTATTCCCAGTTTGAATGGAACATAGTTGGATTACATGTTACAAATTCCCTACTGAGACGCGGCATTCCCAGTATGAATGGAACATAGTTGGATTCCATGGTACAAATTGTCTATTGACACGCGGTATTCCCAGTTTGAATGGAACATAGTTGGATTCCATGGTACAAATTGTCTATTGACACACGGTATTCCCAGTTTGAATGGAACATAGTTGGATTACATGTTACAAATTCTCTATTGACACACAGTGATCCCAGTTTGAATGGAACATAGCTGGATTCCATGGTACAAATTCCCTACTGAGACGCGGCATTCCCAGTATGAATGGAACATAGTTGAATTCCATGGTACAAATTGTCTATTGACACGCAGTGTTCCCAGTTTGAATGGAACATAGTTGGATTACATGGTACAAATTGTCTATTGACACACGGTATTCCCAGTTTGAATGGAACATAGTTGAATTACATGGTACAAATTGTCTATTGACACGTGGTGTTCCCCGTTTGAATAAGGAGTAGTTTGATTACTTTTAGTTTTTGCCTATCAAGTGAACTTTCTTAAGCTCATTAGAAAATTAATTTACGTCATTAGCTACTCATTGTTCTTAGTTAGGCTAGTATAAAACAAAAACTCTTTGGTAATTCATTGACATATACATTATGGTTGTGGAAAGCAGACGCCACAGATTTCTCCTGCATATATAACAAATATTTCATATTTATAAACTTTTTAATTTTGTTCTAAAGTTCTATTTCGTAACATCTTCAATGCAGTTGAGGTCATGTGCTAATTTAACTCTAAATGTTACTTTCTCTAGTAGGATTTGATAAAGGAGGCTATAGACTGTTTTATGGGATAGTCGTATTGTATCCTACATCGCTTTGTATATGTGGGATCGGCTATGTCATAACGGTGACATGGAGCAGAGATATCTTCAAGTAAATGTTAATTAATTTTGTGATTTTTGAGCTGCAGTGAGAATGTGGATCGTGAAAACACAGTTTGAAATTTTCACTCAGATCCGTTTCTGCCTTGGAAAAATCAGGAATTTTTGTTGCGGAAGTTTCGTCTCATATATTTTTTATCACTCTAGTTTCTATTCATGTCTATTTTTTCTCTTACTTAATAGTCAATTTGTTTTCAATTTACTTTCGATAACATCTATTTTGTTTCTGTTATTGAATTTCGTTTTTTTTGTTTGTTTTATTATTTGATTTATAAATGTATTCTATTCAATTTTTAACAACTGCAAGTCTCTCCACTATAAATAAACCACTGTTCCATCTTCTTTTCTGTTTCTGGTATTTGAAAACTATGTTTTTGTTCTATTTTCACACAGAGATTTTTCGTCTTTTATTCCATCCGGCTATAACGAATCACCACACCTATCCTTCTACTATTAGAACGAAGAGCCTCTCGCTATTGCGATGATTGGCTAATTATGTGTTTGATCCATCATACATCTTAGTATGTCACGTGATATTAAGAGAAAGTTGCGATTGGTCGACAGTATTTGTGACCATCAAATATGAGGAATGTTCCTGAACTTGACAAAACGACATATTCCAAGCAGTAGAAAAAAAAGGCCTGTATCGATATAAGCATTTATTCATCTTCTTTTCAGATCAGAGGTGACTTTACTGTTAGTGCAAAAGTGCTCGTTCAAAGAAAGCTTAATCGAGTGAGAAAAAATAAATTCTATTATGTCGTAATGTATTATAATTACACGGAAATTAAGTAGCGTTTAGTCTCTGTGCATAACTACGAAAAATACTTGCGAAGAGAGATAGAATTTAATGATACCGTATTTTTATTTCTAAGCCTTTTGTTGTAAGTTAATCGTTAATCCAGGTGTCGCTCTTTCAGCAAAAAATAAAAAATAAATGGTGATATATAATTATTTGTCAAATGACATCCATGTCGTTTAATGTTTTTGCTACAAACATTAGAGTTTCCGTCACTCTTGACCTTAGTTTCCATTTTCCTTCCGCTATAAAAGATTTTATTTCTTCCAACACCGGAACGAAGGAAATAGAAAATCCCGCGTTCCGGTAGCTTTCTTTTCCGCTAGTCTTCTGACTCACGACCGCTACTCTCTGGGCCACAAGAGAAGCATCGTTCCATAGGGTGACAAAATAAGCATAATTCATTAACATGTGGCGGGAAAGGGCGCTCTATCTTACTCTGATTGGCGGCTATCATAGTACGGAAACACATGAGCCACTTGGCACGCACTCCGGACGTCATAACTCGTTGAGGACGCTGATTGGCTGGGTCCGCTTGGAGACGTGTCGGCAGCTATGCGGTTGAACACCACTATTAAGAGGCCGTTTATAAAGCCTGTTGGAGTTAATCGATCAACCCATGGCGAATGTGTACGTGGACACGGTAGCACAGATTTTATTAACCAGTGCTGCCGCAAGTCGCAGTGGGACAAAGTTTCTCCACAACCTTTGCTCGTGCAGACTCGTCGCCAACGCTTTGTCGAAGCATCGTTGATAACTCCTCATACAGCAGGTTAAATCTAATCCTTACAATCATTTCTCGAAGTGCCCGTGCAGCGGAGCAGGCCGAAAGCACGTGGACCTGTGGGGGCCGGTGTTTATGCTGTTCCGCGCCCGTTGAAGGGCTGGCACTGACCACCGTGGCGCGAGACGGCGAGTGTCCACATCAACTCCCGTGTCGCTACGGGACCGCGGAGGTGTGTCGGCTGTGGATGCAGACTGGGAAACCGTCAGATTTTTTCCCTTGTAATAACGGCTCACCCATTGCAAACCTTCCCATGCTTTTCACTGGTAATACTTTTTTTAATAATGCTATCTTTTCATTTTTGGAAGAAAAAACTAATATTTGTAAGAACAAAAAATCTCAAATTAACCAATCCTTTAGAGAAGTTAGTTAACACTACGCTCACAATAGTAGGCAAGTAATTAAACGTGAATTTTTAAACAAGACTTGTAATGAAATACTGTTTTTTTCTTACTTTCTTTATATATTTTTCTTCTTCATAGTGTTGGTAAAACTTTTCAAGGATTCATATTTTGTTCATAGAGAACAAAGAGTGTAATGAAATTGATATGAAACAAACTGTTTTCTGTTTATTGTAAAATACTTTTTTCAAGACTCAGATATTGTTCTTAGAGAAAAAGGGATCTTATGAAACAAACTGTTTTCTGTTGATTGTAAGACACTTATTCGAGATTCATATTTTGTTCATAAAGAACAAAGATGTAATGAAATTGATATGAAACAAACTGTTTTCTGTTTATTGTAAAATACTTTCTTCAAGACTCAAATATTGTTCTTAGAGAAAAAGGGATCTTATGAAACAAACTGTTTTCTGTTGATTGTAAGATACTTAAATCCATGTACATATGTTATGCTAAAGATCTATTTTTTAATCAAAAGGTGTGTGTGTGTGTGTGTACTACAACTAAAGTTGGTTATGATGTGAACTGTCTCATCTTTGAAATATTCTGATTGTCCTTCCGATCACTCTTTCATTGGAGACGTTAATAAAACAATTTAAATGCTGAATAAGTGAGGCGTGTCCGTACGTTGGACACTATTTAACACATTTATTGTTCTTCTTTGTGCAAAGAGGTTTTTCTCTTTCCTCCTGAGAGAAAAACAAAGTTGCAGGTGCGGGTGTTACTAAAAACAGATTATTGAATTCCAGATGTAGTGAAAAACCCATAAATGTGGGTTTAAGTAAAAATATTCGATACACTTGGTAACAGGTTAGAAAAAAGTGCATGTAGGTGTTGCTTAAAACTCTGATCCAAGTGTTACTAAAACTCTGATCTAAGTGTTACTAAAACTCTGATCCAAGTGTTACTAAAACTCTGATCCAAGTGTTACTAAAATCTCTGACCCGAGTATTGCTAAAACTCTGATCCAAGTGTTGCTAAAACCCTGACCAAAGTGTTGCTGAATCTCTGATCCGAGTGTTACTAAAACTCTGATCCAAGTGTTACTAAAATCTCTGACCCGAGTATTACTAAAACTCTGATCCAAGTGTTGCTAAAACCCTGACCCAAGTGTTGCTGAATCTCTGATAGGAGTATTACTAAAAACTCTATTCTGAATGTCACTAAAAACTTTGACCTGAGTTCTGCTAAAACTCTGACCTAAGTGATGATTAAAACTCCGACCCGAGTGATGATTAAAAACTCTGACCCAAGTATTGATAAAGTTCTGGTTAATTTAATCACTGGTTTCTCAAAACTCCATATAAGGTTTTCGCTAAAGAAGGGATAAGTTAAATCACATTTGTAAGAAAACAAAGACACTGTCATTTTGGTCAGTTATTTATTACAATATTTTCAGAGTTCAAAAGAAAACCGGGCCTGCGTGTTGTTGCTCGTGTGTATCAATATTTACAAGACAAAACTTAGTGTTGACAACTGACAGAACTTTAAACTTGCTAGAATGAGAAGTAATAAAGATATGAAAGTCTTTGGACCTAGTGGAAGAAGATTTTAGTTTATATAATGTAACATTTCCTGTAACGCTTGTTGTTGTTGTTGTTGTGTCCACTTGGTTGTAAGCTCACTAATCATAGTGGATTATGATTTACAGGACCGTGGGAGGTAGAACAACACAGTTAGGGTGGCAAAATCTCGACATACCACACTGAATATGTGTTTGATACATTATGTGTTTCTTATCCCAGTTTTTTTGTTTTGCAAACTTCGTCTCTGTTCACTGTAGTGAGCATCAAATATCAAGTACGATATTTGACAGTATAGCTTCAGTTTGAGTGAATTACAAACATAAACAAATAAGCACGGATAATTGAAGTAAAAACATGTAACGGAAATATTTTGTGACTTCACCACAGCTTATAACGTCTTATTTTGATTTTCAGAACCTTCGTACAAAGGAGCTTGGCCTTCGCCTACTCCAACTCAACCACAAGGTGAGTATATAGATGTTAAAAACACATTCCCTGTAAAACGGGCTTCTTCCGATGAACGCAAAGTCGCGAAGTTAAGTCTGCCTGTACACTTTGGCACTCGATCTACATGTTTACTCACAAGATCCACACTAATAACAGTTATGTAAGTTTTTTTTTACACAAACTACAACTATAACTTTCCTTGCCGTAGTTAAGAATATATGGGATATAGATGTTTATATAGTACCTTCTTACTGTACAATGAAATTAGAATTACGAGCTTGTTTGCACAGGATGTCCGAAAAGTCTGAAACCATAGGCACTTCAACGAATATTACAGAATGTGTTCAAGACGCTGTCCTTTTAATTCGAAACAAGTTTGGATTCACCTGACCTTCTCGTGCTTTGACAGCGCCACAATCAGTCACGTGTGTAAAATTAAGATATGAATCATCTATGGTTCCAGCCTTTCCGGACACGCTGAAAAAATAAATAATACATCTTTTTCTAGCATATGTTAAAACATTGCTAGCCTTATTGTTTGACGTTTCTGTCAGAGAGAGTTGATTTAAAATAATTTTGCTTTGTCTATTTTAACAACAAAGTAGATAGACAGACAGAAAGATAGACGGATGGATATATAACTTTGAGTGTTTGCTTTTCATTCTATAGCATTCTCTATATAGTTTACCTTCTATTTATAACCATATATAGTCTTACTAATAATAATAACTTAACACCACAGCTCTTATGTCTACTAATTACAGTTTTATTAGGCTGTTGTTACTTTTATGTCTAATATCATTATATAGTCTTACTAATGATAATAACTTAACACCACAGCTCTTATGTCTACCAATTACAGTTTTATTAGGCTGTTGTTACTTTTATGTCTAATATCATTATATAGTCTTACTAATGATAATAACTTAACACCACAGCTCTTATGTCTACCAATTACAGTTTTATTAGGCTGTTGTTACTTTTATGCCCAATTTCATTTTTTTAGAATAATAAATATCTCTATTTCGAGTGTTAAAATTTCTGAGTTGCGTTGTTTAGTGCTAAAATTTTTTGAGTTGCGTTGTTTAGTATTAAAACTTCTGAGTTACGTTGTTTAATTTCTAGAAAACAATGAACTGCTGATGGGTGTCTTTAGTTTCAGAGCTACATCAGTCAAATATCAATCCATAGTGCAACCGAGACAGTCTTAAAATTAATTTCGTCTTTAAATATAAGAAATATTCCAAATAAGTTCCAGACCACAGATTCGGCAAAAATTAAGCACCGCCAAGATTTCTGTAAAATAGTTATATTATAAACTATGTTTACAAGCTCGGAATATGCACTCATATGTATTTTTAATAGTTATCCTTTACAGTATAAATTATCCCAAATCGCGTGTATTTCTCTGTGTATTTTAAGATAGCATTAATTGGTAAAACATATTAGTAAGGAAGATACCAAAACTCTCACGTATTTTTGTTGTATTTATTGACTATATTTCTTTCTTTTTTTGGCGTTTTTTAGCTATTGTTAAAAACTATTGAGTTAATAAACTCATTGTGTGTATGTAATGAGCTCTCAGAAGATACAAGAAAGTGCTAAACTTCTTAAAACAACTTTGTACCACATCATTGTCAGTTTTCTCTTTTTTAGTAGTTTAAACTATTTCATAATTAACTTACGCAAAAAAAGTTTTTAATGTTAAAAGTATGTAATGAACAAGTGCTTATCTATGAAATCTCATCTGATCATACCAATGGACAAGCATGCTTGTTAGGAGTTAACTTAATTTTTGAGAACTTCGGAGACTCATCTGATCGTATTGATGAGATATATAAACGTTAGGAGTTAGTTTAAATTTTGTGAACTTTGATAACCCTCTGATTATATTGATGGGTTATGTATCTGCTAGATATTAATGGGTTAGATTCCTGTTAGGAGTTCGTTCATTTGTAGATATTAATGGGTTAGATTCCTGTTAGGAGTTCGTTCATTTGGTCATACTAGAACACTTTTAACGATTCATCATCACAATGTTAATAACAGTTTCATTATTCAATGACGAGGAACCCACTTTGAGACTAATAATACTTGGAGACGGCTTGAATGGGCGATGAAGAAAAACTTGAATATAAGTTTAACATAACAGCAAATGTA